TGAATAAGTTAAAATTAAAATCTGAGTGGGAATGTTTCGGTCCATCAAGTCTCATACATTCCTGTTCAGTGCTGCAACTGGACCTCGTCAGTGTGACGGTTGCAGCGAAAGTAGCATGCAATGTGCCAAAAAAGGAAAAAGAAAGTTGAGATAAAATAAAAAGGTTTAAGCAAAAGTTGAAGGTGCATTTTATAAGAATTACCTCCACAATTACGTCAATGATCAGGCGTGGATATTAACTGGATAACTGGAAATGTGCAGCTGCGAGTCGACTAATCAACTGGGAACGTGCAACTTTTTATGGCTTTTAGTAAAGGCACTTTTGTCAAATCATCACTTAAGTTTCTTCCATTTCGGTTGCCCTGATAGTCCTGGAAATCTGCCTTCTGGGACTGAAATGACATGGGGAATCAGCGTAATTGCAGGTGACATCAGCTGAATTGAATAACGGCGTGATCAATTGCTCTTTCATCCTTCTGTTTCGCGATCTCATTCGTCTGTTTGCTTGTTACAACGACGGTATCATCAATTTGCTGGAGAAATATTTCGATATGCACAAAAAGCAGTGTCGCGAGGCTCTCGACGCATACAAATCATTCCTCGTTTGTTTTATTATTTCGCGTAAATTCCCATAATTACTTTGAAAGCTAATTAGATCATCTTTTTTTCCACCAAATTATCGTGCGTTCCAGCAGATTATCCTTTCTCCCATTGCACTTAGTTGCTCCTAACAAATTTTCTTTGGCGAGCTTTATCCCGCTTTTAATATGTTATTGCTTACATTTATTATACCTTTTTTTTTCGATATTACGGCCCTTACATCCTTGAACTTTCTTGTCATTGCTGGCCTAGGGGCTATCTTCTGAAATACAAAACCATGGCAAATGTTTCATGTTTGTTCACGAAACGGGACATAAAATGGCGAATGTTTGCCTAAAATAAATAATTAAACAAGAAACGAAACATTCAAGAGAGGAAATATTGGCGTGTAGGGTTAAAAAAATTGCATAGCTAATGCGCTTATTTTCAATGCCTTCCACATCAGCATGTGCGTCAGGAACACGAAC